GTTTTTTGGCGCAGGGATGGTCGCAACAGAGAGAGGAGCGGGGGCGAAGACAGAACCGACAGTGGCTGAATGGATCCCCAGCCAGCCCTGTTTCGCCTTTATAGGCTCATCAGGGTTCTGCCCGAGATGACCGAGCGACACCGGGCCGGCCGAGAGGCCGACGCGGCGACAACAAAAATATCAACGCCAAGACGACGGAACGGGGTTACGCACCTAATCGGGAACAAAGAATCCCGCACGGAGAGCCGCACGGGAGCCGAGACACGGCAGAACATACACCGTAGGAAGAAACATCCCAACAGGGACAGCAGAACCCCGACAAGCCGGTCCGATCCGTTCCCCTCCGAGCCGAAGCTCGGCGTACTAAGAAAGGACAGGCCGGCCGAGATGCCGCCGTGCCGCTGCCAAGACATTCCCACTGCGGAGATGCCGACCGGGCCGACCGGCCCGAGGAAGCCGAGGACTTCTACGGACAGCCACCATCAGCTTACGTAAGCAAACTGACCCACGTACCTTATCGTGGGAACCCTAGCCTTAGGGTTAGGCTAGGGTTCGGAACCCCATAGTTAGGGGTTAGCTGTTAGGGTTAGCCGGTTAGGGTTAGGCTATGTATCAATGTTCCTTAGTTGACGTTGATTCCTCTTTGGTCAAGAGGGGTACTTACGTTAGGGTTAGCTTACCTTAGGGCGCCCAAAAAACGCGAGGGAGCGAAGCGACCGAGCGTTTTTTGGCGCAGGGATGGTCGCAACAGAGAGAGGAGCGGGGGTGAAGACAGAACCGACAGTGGCTGAGGGGATCCCCAGCCAGCCCTGTTTCGCCTTTATAGGCTCATCAGGGTTCTGCCCGAGATGACCGAGCGACACCGCGCCGGCCGAGAGGCCGAAGCGGCGACAACAAAAATATCAACGCCAAGACGAGGGTTAGGGTTAGGGTTAGGGTTAGGGTTAGGGTTAGGGTTAGGGTTAGGGTTAGGGTTAGGGTTAGGGTTAGGGTTAGGGTTAGGGTTAGGGTTAGGGTTAGGGTTAGGGTTAGGGTTAGGGTTAGGGTTAGGGTTAGGGTTAGGGTTAGGGTTAGGGTTAGGGTTAGGGTTAGGGTTAGG